ACTGTGGAATCTTGGAAAAACATAATGTTCCTCCTGTTATGTACAATAGATTCTTCTTTAATTGCAGCAGCTAAAAAAAACTTCTATCTTTATAGCTGTGGAACCAAAGCGAAAAAGTTTATGGTCTTTCACTGTCAGCAGGTTTATGGAAAATTTATAGTATGTGCTCTGAGTTTACCATTTTTTGTTGCAATACTTACTAAAACTAGTGCTGAAAAATGCCTGTTTTAGAATGGAGTTTTTCTGTCTTTAAATTTTCCTATAAATTTAATAGCATTGGTGTATATTTATATATTTAATTTATACATAGAAATATATATATATATATATATATATATATATATATATATATATATATATTTTGAGTATATACTTTTGCATACTACACTTCATATAGTATTTTTGGTTTATCTCCTTTTCCCTCAAACTTCTGTTTTGTCTTGTCCAAAATGCAAAAATATGTTCCGGCTGCTACTTTTTCCTTTAGTTTTTTTAATCCTATAAAATGAACTTATTTTGTTACCATTCTCTGACTGTCTTTCAGGACTTGTAGTCAATAGAAAATTATTGATGTTAATGGCACTGAAAAATCTTAAACTTTCTTCCAGTTATCTGGAGAAATTGAATTAATATCTTCTAAATTTTTTAATTATCTGTTTTCTTTTTTCTGTTTCTGAGATCACTTCACTGGTTCCACAATATTTTCTATCAGTGGAAGAAGGCTACTTCTGGGGTTTTTTTAAGCTATGTTTCAGTTTAGAAGTGTTGGACTGATGATCCAGTTGAACCAAACTGCAGTATGCATAGTCTGCTAACTTGATCTGATCACAGTTGTCATTTGTCAACAAATTAAAAAAAAAAACCAAAACGGATGCAAAGTATTCACCAGTTAATCAAAATAAACAGAATTTGCCTTTAGAAACATACCTACATATTTTTTCAGTTGCAAATTATGCTAGTTTAACCACAGAGCAGCAGAAACATGATTTAGTTTTATTGTATCTGCATTTTATATTTTGTTAGTGTAATCAGAAATTCCCCACTCTGGAAAATCTGAGTTGAGCACTGGAAGTCCAGCCTGTCTATAAAAGGAAAACAGGCTGAAATTTTTAAAAGGGGAACACAGGATTTAATCAGTCACTTTCATTTATCTAAACTATTGATTTCTCATTTCCATGAGAAGTGTAATGCTTGAGTCCTCACTGTTTCATCCCAATTAATTTTCATTAAAAATCACTCTGTATGAAGATGCAGTTTCTGCTTTGACCTTCTTTATTAACACATCTGTAGTGCTCCTCAGTCAAAGTGGAGTAGTCCCTCCTACTTCTTCAGTATTCATTAAATGCTGTTTTCTTTCCTTCCTGTGCAGGCAGAAATCTGGATGGATCAAAGCCAAATTTTATTTGTATATTCCCAAACTTCAGAAATATAGCAAAATCCCCAATCTATACCTGATCTCAAGTCAGCAAATCTTTAGATTTTGTAGAACCAGATCCTCTCTATTTTTATATATCTATGTATCTCCTGTAGTACATGCTCAGCAACTCAAAAACAATATTAGACTTTGATTAAGGTGAAATACATAGGGCAGCTTGGCTGTAGCTGAATACACAATAGTTAATAAATTATTAGATCTGAGAATGGAGACTACCCCATTTTGAACACAACATCTGTCTAGCACTGGAAAGGAAGGTGCTGCAGCCAATTCATGTTTTTATTTACTCTCTGTTCTTACTACATGTAGTTTACAAAAAAAAACACAGAGTGAATAAGACAAGTCCTTCTGTATGAGATCTGCATAGTTTTAAAGGCATACATGATGTGGGATTTAGAAAAAATAGGGTTTTCCATAAACATTTTGCTGAAGAGCACTAAATACCATTGCTAGCTCCTGTACCCATTCCCATACTCTAATATTTCCATATTCTAGAGCATGTAAAATCTGACATGTAATAGATCAGATTAAAGTGAGTTGTGCGGTAAATCCTGACCTTTAAGCAAAAAATACCAGATTTTGGAAACCTTGATCTCATCTTTTTGAGAGGCGAGTCCACAGGTGGATGCACCTAGTGCCAACTCTAATGCAGGGTGAAGTAGCAGTGTTTGTTACTTTGGGGCAAGCAGCACATTCTTTACTATGTAGGACAAGAAAGAAAGCAACCCTCTAGTAACGTTTTGCATTTCATAGTTTCTTTATATCTAAAAGCCCATATATAGTAAGCTGAATCAGAGCCTGATTTTTTTTCAGTGTACAAAAATCAAAAATTCAGCTGGGATTTGGCTTGACACACCCCCCACCTCACCCTTGCCCTTTCTTGCTCTCTTGCTTTTCTTCCCCAGGAAAAGTAAGTCAGACATTACAGGATGCTGTTGCAGAGGTTCTCAGCCAATCCTCAAGATCTTGTTTGTGGCACTCACTTTTCTTTCTCTCAAGATGTGTACAGGGCTGTGTGCTGCATGGATACTGCAGCTGTCTGTTGCTGAGCCCTTTCAGTGGGAGGACGTGGCTTGTGGAGAGCTGCTCATAGGGTCCCTAATTTAGAGGGTACACAGCAGAAGTGATGGTAGTTCAAGTTAAGCCTGCAGTATGTTTAATGCTGTTTACATCTGATGGAAATTTTAAATATTTGACTCCCTGGAAACATACCGCCTCCCAAAAATAATAAATGAGGTTCTTAAAAATTGCATGTAAGAAGCACAGGGCACATTCAGAAGTCAACTCTTTGTTTGCTCACTTTCTGTTTTTTTGTTTCTGACTTGGTTTTTCTGTGTTTTCTTCACTTCTGCATACCTATTACACTGGAACATTTTATTTCATATCAATATATTAGACAGAGCATACATATTGGATAATGCTTCAGATAAAAATTCAAAGTTCATTTTGTAGCACACTATAGAAGTAGATATTTTTTATGGCAGGTAGATTCACATTAATTCTCAGATTATGCAGTTTAATAAGAGATTATGCCTTTTCTATGTATTTCCAAGCACAAAATGAACTGTGTAAGGGTGACTGGCTTAAACTTGTAGCTGCCATTCATTTCAGCCCGTGCAGCCCTGCAGCCTGGCTGCTGAGAGCTGTGCTTACTCGCTGTTTTGTGAGTCTCTGCAGATGTACAGTCACCCACTCTGGGAGAACATGCACACACTCTTTTTTTCTTTTTTTTTTTCTCTCACACTGTCTGGCATACTTTCAGCACAACTCTTCGAAGACTTTCTGAACTGCTGGGTATGGTTGCCTGATTATTATTTTTTTTACTGGGGACATGTTTAGTCCAGTGTTATTTAAACAAGCTTATCTCCTTGATCAAAGTCTACAATCTGAAATTTGAACAGGGTAGGGAGGGTGGCTGGGTGGGTGAGGAAATATATCAAGTACATAGTTGTGCATGTGCTGATGTCTCAGCTCTGTGCCTGCGAAGGTAAAAACATATATTGCTTCAGAATATTCTTGCAAATATAAAAATCTTTGGCTATTTTAGTAGGAGTTCTGAAAGCACTGTATTATTTCTAAAATAAAACCGGTTTGAGTAAACTTTTCTTGACACTTCTAGTGACCTGCATATTCAGTTTTTCAGTTTCTTGGGTTTTTTGAAGGTTCAGCCAAATAACTGTGGAGTTGTTTAAGTATAGCATAGGCTTTGCTAGTATTCAAAGCACACTAGCTGGAGCCCATATATTAATGTATTTAGGGTTGACATTAGCCTATTTCATTGACTGAACCACAGACCACAGCAATGAAGCTGAAGAGCTTGAAACAGTTTCTGGAGGTTTTCATTTAGCTCGTTCAGGAGAACTGGTTTGTGCAAAGTTAAAATTATATGGAATGAGATAGCAAGAAGAAGCATGCATGCCACACCTTTTCATTATGTTCTCTCTTTTCTTTTTTTTTTCTTTCTAAATATAACTTTGAGAGGCATGTCAGGTTTTTTTAAAGCCAATCCCATTTGATTATTTTAGATTACTTGATTTTTTAGTTTGATTTCAAAATTCAAGTTTGCTAGGCTTTTGTTCACAAGACTAGGAAAAAGAATTTCCTGTATTCAATTTATATATCATGCAATCAAACAACCATCTCCTAACTCTGACAAAATGTAAATGATGTCTATTTCATCATTTTACAGAATAAAAAGAAGGAGGCATAATTTTCTAGGCTAGTCTAAAGCTTTTCCTTGCTTTTTAATGTTATTATAGTGCTCTAGTAACTGCAAGATGCTGTTGCTGATGAAAGTATATTATAAATCTTCTCTTCTGCATGGGTATCATGCGCACTTTAATTTTATTGGCTGGCTTTATTGACTGGGGCTTGCTCCCTGCACACCCAGACACACAAACATACACAGAGAGACAGACACACAGACGCATGCTTGCACACACAGACACACACAGACACACAGACACACACACACACACATTCTGCTTTGCCCTATCTTGGTTACAGCACAGTCCTGCCCAGGGTCAGTACAATGTACACATTACATATTTCTAGCAAACATGAAAATGAATCAAACAGGAGGAGAGATAAGCACAGATAGATTGGAGCCTGCTGAGGAAATAAAAGGCAGTGATCTGACTGACCATTGGACTAGTCTTCCTGGTTGGATTTAAGTGTTCTTTCCCCTTAGCTGCTGCAAAGCACTGTACTCTGAAGTGAAAAATGAAACAATCAGTAAGAATGAAGTAACATTTAGACGGACAATTCTTTGGTATAACTCCAAACCTAATTGTTTCTGAAGTGATGTTTAAACCAACATCGGCACCAGGCAAGGGCTCCTGGCTCACAGCCAGCACCTTGTAAAGCATATTAGTGCAGATGAGGAGTTCCTAAAAGTTAGAGAGAGGGAGAGGGAGGGAAGAAGAGAGAGAGAATGTGCGTCTTCAGTGCTCACTCTGCATTTGTTTGTATCCTCCTCCTTGCCGAGATTAGAGGAATACCTGTGTAGTGCTGCTTTATTATGATTTCTGCTGAGCCTCAGAATAGGTTCTGGTATTTTTTTTAGGTGGACTGCTAGCTGCCGATCTCGCTGTTGACAGTAAAAGCAGATATGTTCCTTGCTCACTGCCATTAGTACTGACCATGACCCTTCACACCAAAACCTCTGGAGTTACCCTGCTGCACCAGATTCAAGGCACTGAACTGGAGACACTGAGCAGACCTCAGCTGAAGATTCCCCTGGAAAGATCGCTCAGCGACATGTACGTGGAGACCAACAAGGCAGGAGTTTTTAACTACCCAGAAGGAGCCACCTATGATTTTGGTACTACGGCTCCTGTCTACAGCTCTACCACGCTCAGTTATGCCCCTACGTCTGAATCTTTTGGGTCCAGCAGTCTGGCAGGATTTCACTCCCTGAACAGTGTCCCACCAAGCCCGGTGGTGTTCTTGCAAACGGCACCCCAGCTGTCGCCCTTCATCCATCATCACAGCCAACAGGTACCCTATTACCTTGAAAACGATCAGGGCAGCTTCGGGATGAGGGAAGCTGCTCCTCCAGCCTTCTACAGGTAAATGCTAATTTCTTTTTTATTTAAGCAGATGATCTGAGAAAATTAGAATGTAGAAATCTGTTATGCCCTAATATTTGCTTTTTGTGCAAAGGAGCGTGTGATTTAACTGAATCATCGATGATATCTAGACCATAAGAAATAGCGTAGAATAAAACAAACTAATTCACAGCCCACTTCACTGTGACTGTAAGCTGTAAATTTTGAAAATCCGTGTTAAAAACCCATCAGATAATGAGTATAAATATTTCCTGGGAAAACATGAAATCATAATTAATTAATGGCAAATGACCTCAGTGTTGTAATGTATTATAATACTGTCTGAAGTATACTAAAAAGACTTCCACCATCACACATTTTTCAGTGTGAGTGGTTGTTTGTTCAGCTCTTAGATGGAGTAAGAGTATTTTTCTCCTCTGTCTTCCTTTGCAGTGTGAGAAGTGGCTTACATAGGAAGTTGTTCAGAAGCACTATATCCTTCCTAATCAAAGTGTTAGAGTTGACTCAGTGACAGTATTTCAGTCAGTAACCACCTTCCTGAGCTATCCAAAGAGCTGTGTGCATATTAAGGTGCATTTTTCATTGGAGGGATGATATATATTAACTGTAAACCTGGCATGCTGCTTTTCAAAAGATAGGCTTGTTCAGCGGGGTTTTTAGTATTTTTGTCCCTCAGTAGGAGCTTGGTTCATGTTTTGTCTTTTTGGTCTGGAATAGAAAGACTGAAATATTGTTGAAAGGGGGAAATAAATTTCTGTGGTTTAAATATTTATTGTCAATTGTGAAAAACATTACGTCTTTTCTTGAAGTGACAGAAATTAATAGAATTATGGCTTCTAAAAAAAAATCATACATACCTATACCCACACTGTTAACGTTTTGTGCAGTATTTATAGCATAGTTTTGCAACAGCTTATTATATTGGGCTTCAGTGAATTAAAGTGAACAGATGGATTTTTTTTTCTGAACTCTGTCATTCTCTGTTGATTTGAGAGATACAGGTGAGTTTATTAGAAGTGTACCAACTCTGAAAAAATAAAATCAAGTAATTTTTTCCATGTTGAAGGCCAGACTCTGCTAGGCTTATTTACACAATATAACATGTTGCCATGAACAGCAACGTATGTTCTGAAATCTAACTCAGTCAGACTAAGAATCTGGTAGTAAAATCTGGTCCCAGAAAACAAAATGATTGCACTTTTTTAGAATGGATTGGGCAGTTTTGGGGAGCAGGTAGAGTAAAGACAGGTGAAAACATAGATAATGGTTATGTTAAATTGTCCAATACAGTGATCTGTAAACTGAATTGATTCAAACAAAATTCTTTTTAGTGCAACTAAATACAGTACTTCCTGGAAAAATAAGTACATGTCAGAGCATAGTGATCTTGAATGATTACCAGTGACTTGAAAGTTAAACTGCACTTTGTGCTCAATTAAAAGACTTTTTTTGCATAATTGTCCCATGCAAACCTATGGTGAAAACTATGTAGGCAACCTTATGTATGTAAACAGTGGAGTAGTGAGTTTGTGAAGTTGAAATACACAGGCAGAAAATGTTCTACAGTCAGGTATTATACTGCAGGAGGATTCAAACCTGAGAATCGCCTAGACACAGAAGTTGCTATGGAAATAGTGTTCTTTTAATTTTTTAGCTGTGAATTGAGATCAGATCATTCAAAATAAAATTTTAGTTTAACTGCTTGAGCAAATGTGTAAGACCAGTGCTGTATTTTCCTTTTTCTGACATTTCTGATCAAGGTTGTGTGTCACCCTTGGGGATGTGTATCAGCCCTTTGAAATTGCTGAGGCTTAATGCAGCAGTAATTAGGTGAATTTATGATCTTGGATATGCCAGAAGGTTTATCTGCATACAGTGTTATACAAATGATTTAATGGCCCCTTCCAGCCATAACTCTGTGGAACGCATCTTATGTGGTAATAAGAAATGTTTTTCAAAGTGCTTGCTATGATTATCTTTTGTTAACAGGCATGGTACTGTTCAAATTAAGTTAATAAAAAACTTTGCTCTTTTTGCTTTTCATTTTTGTGAGGTCGTATTTACAAAGTTTTCACCCTCACAACACTAAACATTAGGTCTTGTGTTTTGGCATGAGCCCAATCACCAGTAGTCTGTCAAAAATAATTTGAATATGTGTTCACTGCCTAGGAAATTTTTAAATGTCTAGCCATTGGGTTTAATACTAAATTCTTTAAAAAACCTTCCAATTTGCTTCATTTATTTGGCTAGTCTCATTGTCTTCACTTAGGTTATGGGAGCAAAGAAAGCATAGGGCAGTATAATCTGGCAATGAATAACTTGATGCTGGAGATTGAAAGATGTCTAACTACCAAAATAGAGAGTTTCTGGAACAGCCTACCAATAGGAGTGGTAAAGGCAAAAAATCTTATAAGTCCTAAAAAAAGTTATAATGAATCATGATTAGTTTGTGATATGGCTGCCTGCTTCCATGAAGTTATGTAACCTTAGACTCAGTAAGTCTCCTCTGCAATTCTCATTTACCTTTCTGTAATTCTGAATTGTGCTATTTGTCTTTTAGGGTGGAAATATTTACATTGCATCACCCTATTCTACTCTGAATTTGACATGAAAGTGTTGCATTCAGTGATACATTCAGTGATATCTAGGACAATAAATAAACATTATAGTTCAGGGCCGAGATGATATTCTCTTCGATACTTTGACAAAATGTTAAAAATCTTCAGTCACAAAACAAAAAATTACTCTGTCTGATAAAGAAAACTTTTAATGTCTTTTGATTTTGTTAGTAAGTGTTCAAAATCATGCTGCCTATGGACAGATATGTATTAATAGGTGTATAACTACGTGACTGCTAATTCTGAAGTTATATTTTGTCTTTCAAATAGTGACTCTTTTTCCAAAAGAGTTAGTCCCTTGCTGTGAGATAATGGTATGCTTCTATATTTAGCTGAAGAATATAATGATACATGAAAATAATGATTTTCAAAGAATGCAATAAATATATTAATGTCCCTTCTAGTATCTCTAAATCATGAGGCATCAGAATTTGAGAAGTGGAGAAAAAAGGGCTTAATTAACTCAAATTGTGCTGTCTATACATAGAATTTTATGTCTCATCTTGTGGCTGTTTTTACAGGTAGCCAAACTAAAATACCTTTTTCTTATCTGACAATGTCAAATATAATTTTTTAAAAATTTTATTGATAATTTTTAGTATTGGGTTTTTTTATTATTGAATGCTGACTAGTGGTTGATAATTATTACAGGAAATCTTGTACTCATGACTATTACAGTAAATTAATGGAATTTTTTTTTTTTTTCTTAACTATTGAATTTGAGTTCAGGTAATTTCGGTTATTTCCTCTCAAATATTTTCAGCAAGATTTGATCCACTCAGAGAAAAAACAAAGCTTTCAGTAGCTAATTTACCTCAGTAGTTTCCTATAAGAAACAGTAGAACATCCTTTTTGCTCTACCAGTGTGTCATCCCACTGAGTCTGCACTCCTCAGATCTGAAGTGAAATCATGCATATACTTAAGGCCCTTTGTAGCCTGTCTTTGGTGCTGGTTCCAAATTTGACCAAAAAAAAAAAAAAAAAAGGAAAAGTCCCTGATGAGAAAACCGTTTGTCAGTCTGTAGTGAGGGACAGAGACTGGGCGACTCAGTGTACAAACAGAATAAGAGATTAATTGCTCCCTCACTTTTAGTGGCTAGTTTGTATCTTCTGATACTTCAGGCTCTATGTTTAGATTAATGTAATAAAGTTTTTTGTTTAGCATTAGCCCCAATTATCATACTTGCAATTGAGTCTGATGTTCTAATGACTATAGTCACAACGTTCATTTTAATGCTTGCTAAAATTGAGAAAGATTACAAATGCAGATCTATCCCTCTCCTGTTGTAATTTGTAAATCCATCCATCCAAAAAAAAAGTTATGTAACCAAATACACAAACTTTGTTAACCTTGTCTGATTCATTATGAATTTTTCTAGCTGTTCATGTTGAGCTCTAAATACAGAAGATTTTTTCCAAATTTTAAAATTAAAAGTGTTGAAATGAATATGAAGTTCAAAGATGATATTTCTTTTCTTATTTTTTTTAAATGTAGCATAAAGTATTTCATAACATGGAGTATGATGTAATGTAGTGTTTTGCTTTGCTTTTTTTGTTTGTTTTTCTCTAAAACGTCAGTCTGCTCAGAGGTTCTCTCTTGAACAATTCAAGCATTCAGGCAATTTCTTGAACACTTGGAGTGTTCCTGTTTACAGGTCTTGTGCTGGTATCTCTGACAATTTTGCAGGAATAGATGACTGTAATAAAAGAGACAGGAAAACGGAGTCATCTCATGGATAGTTTCTTATCTCATGGAAGCGTTGTAAAGATAAGCCCATTAAATGTTCTGAGATGCTTACACATGACAATTATGAGGGACTTGTACAAACCAACTTTAGTGTTTCTGCAGCCCTTCTTGGAGCACGTGCTGATGTGGATCATGCTGCAAGTGTGCTGGCACCATAAATCACCAATCCACACTGTTGAGAAGCACACGTGATCTGTGCCTCCTCGTGCCCCTGAATACGGGCAGACAGTGATGGAAAGGGGTAAAAGAGATTTTATGCTTCCTCATTACCCTCCTTTCTTCCAAGGCAGGGAGATGGATCTCACTTGTTCTCTCTTCTCATTGAAGAAAACTTCATTTCTGCAGCAAGTTACTTTTTTGCAAAAACCACAGACATAGGAAGTGCTTCATATATCAAGTCCTTCCCAACAGGACTTGAAATTCATGTCTAAACCCACGCTTATTTAGACTGACTGTGTGAATGGGGTTCATCTAACCAAATGTAGACACCTAGGTCTGTATTCATTTTTCCATTCCTTAGGCATCTACTGCATGAAGATGGATACCCAGTGATATTCAAAGTTACGTGAAATTAATCCCACCCATACATTTCCTGTAAAGAACCAAAACAGTCATGCTCTGTAATATTCCTTCTC